GTATTGCTTTCACACCATTGTAAAGTGGAATTGTAAGCTGAATCACCATAAGTTGGGAACCGCCTGTATGTGATTTTCCATTGAGAGACAGACAGACAGACAGATAGATGACAGATAGATATTAATTCAGCGCTATTACATGTAAGCCACTAGTGTAGATTCTGAGAACGCCTCAGGGAACAAATAATAGTGTCTTTAAAATAAAAAAAGATACATTTCAAACAGATTTTCAAATGTTTTGGTTTATCCTCTCCTAAAAGACTATCCATATGAAAAGAAATCTGTAACCTGAAGGTTCCTTTAGGAGCAGAGAGCAACAGCAAGGGAAATTAATTGGATAATCTTAATGGTGATCATTATCAAGCTAAAACACATCCATTTGGTAAAGTCCACATAAGAAGATCCTCTATTTGTGTGATGGATAGGAAAGACTTTTTAAAACTACAAAGCTCAAATTTTAAATATAAAAATTGGCCAATTTGACTCTTTCAAAATTGAAATTTTTTATAAATATACACTGAGACAAAGATAAAGGAAGATGATGGATTGTGAGAAATCTTTGCAGTATCAAATTTTGACAGACTAAGGAACTCCAGAATATCAACCAGAAAAAGACAGAGATAATATATTTTTTAAGAAAAGACACAAGATATAAACAGGCAATATGTAAAAATGGTAACTCAAAAAGCTAATAAGCATATGAGAAGATTCTTAAATTCATGATTAATTGGAAAAATATAATTAGAGCAACGTTGGGCTAGTTTATAGATTGATCTTTCATGTTTCTCCATGCAAGAGATCCATCACCTGTGTTCACACCACCACAGTTGAGTACTTAGGTATGCTAAACTGAAGGAAAAACATGGAGCCTGTTGATTCAGCCCAGGTAAACGTTGTTCTATGAGCATGCAGCGAGCTGGGGACCACAGTTCTATCTCATGTTAACTGCAACTATTTTGACTTTACTCTCAAACCTGTTTTCCATTTTTATTCCAAGCACTGTTTTTATATGGCTCTTCCAAACTCCTTTGAAGAGAGAAAGTATGCTTCCACATTTAAATAATCAGAATTAGACTGTGTCTAACTACCCTGAAATTTGTATTTTTTGGTTTCAGGCATACCACCACCTAAAGAAAACTGAGATAAAACAGAAGTAACATGAATATTAAAATATATGTCTTCATGAAGAAACTGAGGTATAAAGAGGCTAAGTAGCTCACTCAAGTCCACAAAATTAATAATCAGTAGAGCTGGGATTTGAACTCAAGGATTTTGATATCAGAGATCATGACCATAAACTTTGAAGTGGAGTCACTGAAGACTATAAGTAGCTAAGTAACATAACACTGTTTTCATAAAATGTTTTTTATTAATTAATTAGTTTGCTTATCAAACATACTCTGTGTCAGCACTGAATACTAGAGCTACAGATACAAATTTCACATCGTAGCGGGGAAAACAGATCACACAGATATTATGTGCTAGGAAATTCAACACGATAAGTGCACCAGTGATGACACGTCAGGGTAGTGAGAGAGCAGAGCAGAAACACCTGATCAAGCGAGGAGACGTCCTAAAGGCTTTCTGAAGAAAAGGTCAGATGAGCTAGAGTTAGCTGTGATGGAGACGGGAGAGGTGAAGTAACTCCAGGCAGGTAAAGACAATGCAGACAAGACATCACAGGGTTTAGAGGGCTGAATCACAGAATGCAAGGTGGAAGTGAGATTGAAATAAGGAAAGACAGTCAGAGCTCAGATCTTGGAGGGCATTTGGACAATGGAAGAGTTTGGATTTAATCCCATGAGTGAATGAGGATTACTGAGTTAAAAATATGGATATATCTTAAATAGTTTGGGTGGCAGGTTGGAAATTGATTTAAAAGTCTGTTAGTCAAAATAAGCCAGTTGCACTGTGGTAATGAATAAATCTCCAGATCTCAGTTGTTAATGAAATAATAGACTATGTTTTATACCTAAAGTCTGAAGCTGGCTGGATAGCTCTCATCTACCTGGTAGCTATACCATCTGGAATGTGTGTCCTTCCAGGTTACTGCAGAACAGAGAGATCTGGAGGATATACAGGTAGAGCTGAGACTAGATGTGGCTTTCATCAGTTCCTCCCACATCTTGTGGGACCCTGCAGCATGACTAAACTGACATAACCACTGAAAGAGATTTTCGGTAAGCACTGAGAGTTTACCAGAGAATGGAGCATTTCTTTCTGTCTTGTTTATTACAGGCCTAATGCACCTATACATTCTGAGTATACTGAGGAAAATTAGTGCTTAATCTTTTACTATTTATTATACAAATGCTTTTTGAGCGCCTTCTATGATCCAATTACTGTCATAAAGATCAGGCGTTTTTATTCATGTTACTTTCTTGTGGGATGGCTCTCCACTTACATGATACTATGTGCAAAGGATAGAGTAATAAAGTGGAGTAGAAGGTATAAGGGTCAGATCTTGTGTGTTAAAATGACTCTGAATTGACTGAAATGAACAGAATTTAGAATATTTTGTATAAGAGTGACATGACCTGACACTTTGAGGGATCACTCTTGCTGCTTTGTTGAGAGCAAATGTAAGGCGGTAGGGGAGAAGCCCTGATCCTATTAGGAATCTATGCAGTGATCCAAGTGAGCAACGATGGCGGCTCAGCCCGAGGGCAGAATGAAGCTGGTGAAAGCGGTCAGATTCTGGATGTATTGTGAACACATGGTATTTAATTTTGAAGATAAAGTCATCAGAATATGAGAATGATTTAGATATGGGGTGTGAGGAATAAAGGTCTTAACGTGAGCTCCCAGAAGAATGGAGTTGCAGTCAAGAGAGGGGAGATGAACCTTAATCACTAAAATTTTTGTGAGATGGTTTTAGGATGTCCAAGGGAGTATTAGTTTCCTAAATTACTGACACCCAATGAGTGATTTTCTTAGAATTTCAAATGATAACAATGTTTATAGAAAAGTCTTTTCTTAGATTTAAAGATTAGCTCCAAACATGTCCTGCATTGACAAGATTTCATCCAAAATCTATGGATCTATCTACCTAGAAAGAATACCAGTTGGTTAACAAATTATATAAATATATTTAAGTCAATTAGGCAAATATTAAGCTATTTAGATTATTTTGATGTGACAATTCACTTACTGTTTGTTGGAGCGTGTTTGCCTAATGGGAACTGCCTGTATTTCCATATCTCTAATGAAATAAAAGTATTTATTTTCTTTACTATTATTGTTATTATTAATACACTAGAAACACACTAAATAAGGGATTCCACTTTACCTTGGTGATTTGATTCAACTATTAGGTGCATTAGTAGAACAGGAGGTCAAATTTAAGTTGGACTTTGATGAAAGCAGAGAATAGGGAAAGACTATTTCAGGCATCCAGAACAGAGCACATAAATGCTTGAATGTAAAAGAGGATGGATGGTGAATTCAGAAAAATAATAGAATTTAGGGCCTATGCAAGGGGACCAGTTTGGGTTTGGAGTTACAAGGAGTAGGAAACAGAAACTAATAACACTGATTATGAAATTAGGCATGAGTAACATACAGTATAATAAAAAGTTTCAATTTCATCTTTTAATAAAATAAAGGCCACGATGTTGAAAATGTAGAAGAACTGAAAGTGCCTTGTGGGAGAAAGAGAGTAGAGAATAAAGAGAGAGGCCATCAGAAAGTCATTCAATGGGAGAGTATAAGTTAGAGACAATTTCAGCCCTAGAAATCTCAGAGAACCAAGTTTCTAAATGAGAGCATATATAGTAGGAATGAGAAGCTTACATTGTGAACAATTATGTGATTATATATTATTTTGCTAATACAATGCCAAATTCTACCTTTAATTTTTTTTTCTCCTATTAGGCTAAGGAATCAGTGACCTCAAAAAGATGTAATACTATACGAAATCCAGCTTGAATCCTAGCTTGAAAGAGTCCCACTCGCCTTCATCTAACACATGCTTTCTAGAATCTACCCCACTCATGTAACCAGAAAGTTCTAAGGGTAATTGCACAGTTTTAAATATCTAGTGGAGCAATTGCATTCTTCAGGGAAGTGGATCTGCAATAGATACAGGATACAAAGCCACTCCCCAAAGCCAGTTTTATGGAATTAATGACAATATATAGATCATTGAGTGCATTAGGAAACTTCAATGCAACAAAATGACCCATTGCATATAAAGAGGGAATATATGAAATCATATAACAAATGATTAATAGCAAGACTATATCTTAGAATTTTCTACCAACTGATAAGTAAAAGACAAGGAAGCCAAGAGAAAAATCAGCAAAGCATTAATAGACAATTCACAGAATATAAAAGGAAGTGTTCACTGAGCACATGTGAAAAGATGTTCAAACTCACCAATATTAAAATAGTATTCATCTCTGAAGGAGGAATAGGGGAGAGCGACACAATTTGGAAGAAGTACAAAATGAAATGCCATTTAATGTGTAACATTTAATGGCTTTAAACAATAAAGTACAGAGCAAATATTGCAAAATGTTCACATTTGGTCATCTAGGTATATACATATTTGATTTATTTTTCCTTTTGTATTTTTTAAATATTTCTCAATAACAAATTTAAATATATTCCCCCATCTGTCACTTTTATGAGGTAAAATGATAAAGGAGGCAGTGTGAGTTTGGGGAAGAACATAGGAGTGGTGGTTGGCATCCTAAATTCTAGTCCCAAATATGTCACCTGCCCACTGGGTGACCTTGAGCAGATCACTTCATTCTTCTGAAACTGACTCCTCACCTGAAAGACTTGAAATTATTATCCACCATTATTACATAAAGTTAGTGTAAGGACTGAATTCTTTCATGTCTATGAAAGTGATGTTCAAATGTGAAAAAGATATGGAAATTCTCAAAACCTGCAGTTAATGTGAAATTACATAAATATATTTTCCCATTTACTGTGATTCAAAACTTATAGAAACAGACATTATAAACAGAAAGTAATACACATTTTTTTCTTACCTGGTCTATTAGTTGGGAATAGAGTTCATGGCAATTGTCAAAGATGTACTTGTACGTAGAATCCAGGCAAGCCCTGACACAGTCCTTCACCACTAGGCTGGCCTTTGGGGGATTTTGCAGCTCCAGAACCTGACAGACAAATTATTTTCTTAAACTCAAAACTACAGCATTGTAATCCAGTATAATCAACTCAAGCAATATTCAATGAGTACATACTTTTAGTCAATTTTTCTTTGTTCAGGAAAATGTAGCCTTAGAAGTATTTTAAATGTATAGATATCTACTTTAACTTTCTGATATGAAAACTCAGTGAAAATGATCATTGTTGTAAATATTCAAATAGAAACCCTTAAAGAGACCCATTACATTAGTCATTCATTCCTTTCAACCATTTAACACATATTTATCACTTACTATGTGCCAAACATTGGTGATACTGAATTTTAGTAAATAATGAACAAAATAAATCAGTAAATATTACATGATGTTGCATGCTGAAAAGAAAAATAAAGTAGGGAAGAGGTGAGGAGTGTTTCAGTGGAATAGAATTAATACAGAGGACTGCAATAGTAGATGAAGTCAGAGAAGAGATGGCAGCATGGGGAAAATCTACATACATTATTGTAAGAACCTAAGCTTTGAAGAAGGTGGGAATAAATTGGACTGTTTGAGCAGAAGAACAAAAGGACAAAACTATCTTTTAAAAGACTCTTTTATGCTGCTTCTAGGTAGGTTATGGAAAAAGTAGAAAGATGAGAGATGAGAATAGTACAATAATTTAGTGAACAGAAGATAGTGCTTACACTATAGTGGCAAGCTAGGAGCTGTTAGGAGAAATCCTATTCTGGTTAATTTTGGAAGGAAGAGTTAACAGGTTTTCTGACAAATTGGATGACTTGTGTGAGAGAGAGGAGGCGAGACCCCAAAGTTTTAGCCTGAGTAATTAATACAATGAAGGTGACCTCAATTTAGATGATCAAGGCTGTGCTTGGGCAATCAGGGGCTCAGTTTGGCAGGTTAAGATTGAGAAGCCTCTTATACATACAAGTAGATTTCCAGTAGACATTTGGGTAGATAAGTCTGGAGTAGTGGAGATGCCCAGGCTAGGGATATCAATTTGGGAATTTTCAGCTGAGAGAAGAATTTAAGGAAATGAAACTAGATAAGTGTGGATAGAGAAAAGTTTCAAGAAATTCAATCTGGGTAATTCTAGCCCTAAGACATCAAGCAAATGAGAAAGAAAACAGAAGCTAATAAGGTAAGAGCAAACTAAGAGGGCATCTTGGTGGTCTAGGGAAGAAAAGGTTTCCCAGAAGAAGAACTGATGAAATACGTTAAGTTATATTGAACGCTGATACTGCAATGAACAAAAGAAACATAAATCCCTTTCCTCATGGAGTAGATAGTAAGCAAAATAGGAGTAAAATATGTTAATGATAATGCATGTTGAAAAGAAAAATAAAGCAGAGAAGAGGAGTAGCATGTAGGATTGTAGGATGAGGAAAGATAGCTGACCACTAGATTTTGCAAAGTGATGGCTATTGGTTATTCTGACAATGTCACTTTTGGTAAAATGATAGAAAAGTCTGATTGGAGTGGGTTCAAAAAATAAGGGTGGATATGAAGATTTAATATTGTTAAAATTTCAGTTTTCTCCAGGTTGATCTAAAGATTTCATGCTATCCCAATCAAAATCACAACAAGAATTAACATCACCTAAAACATTCTGAAGAAGAAGATAAAAGGTGGAGGATTCACACTATCTGATTTTAAGGTTCTCTGTGAAGCTATAGGAATCAAGATGGTTTGACAATGGTGCAGATATAGACAATTGAGTAGAGAAATAGACCCAAATAAGTATGGTCAATTGATCTTTTTCTAATGATGCAAATTCATTTCAACGGATAAAAGAAATCTTTTCAGTAAATATGTTAGAAGGCAAGACAAAAAACAAAAACAAAGGCAAAAATAAAATTATCCTAGACTTATACTTCAGATAAAATAAAAAGAGTTCTCTGAATGAAATACAGGACTAAATATAAAAGGTAAAATAAAACTTTTAGAATAAAAATGGGAAAATCTATTTCTGACCTTGATTTAGTCAGAAGCATTATCCATAAATAAAAAAATTAATAAAGTAGACATCATCAAAATTAAAAAACTTCTGCTGTGCCAAAGCTACTGTTAGTGAATGAAAAGATAAAACACAGACAGGGAGAAAATATTAGCAAATAAAGTACCTGACAAAAGATTTGTATCCAGAGCAAATAAAGAGCTCTTTATAGTTAATGATAAGAAAACAGCCTAATGGAAAATGGGCAAAATATTTCAACAGATTGTTCATGAAAGAAACTAAGTGACAAATCAGCTCAAGAAAAGGTGATCAACATTATTAATAGAGAAATAAAATCAAGGCCCCAATAAGATACATTATAGTGGCTTAAAAAATTAAAACCATGGGTAATAGCAAGATCGTCACCAGAGGATATAGATAGCAACTGGAATTCGTATATATACTGCTGGGAATGCAAAATTGAACAACTGCTTGGAAAAACAATTAGGCACTTCTTGCTAAGGTAGACGTACATTTTCCAAATGACCCAGTAACTTTTCTGCTGGGTATTTACCCAAGGAAAGTGAAAACTAAAAATATGTACATGAATATTTTTAAGTTTTATTTGTTCTGACCCTAAATGGAAACAACCAAAAAGCCTGTAATACACAAAAAAGATTACTACTCGGCAATAAAAAGGAATGAACTGTTGATACACTCAACAAGGCAGATGAATAGTCTATGTATTATGCAACACAGCATATTATTTCATTTATAGGATGTTCTGGTAAACCATAGGGGGACGAAGAGCAGATCGGTGGTCACTGGGGAGGGGGCAGGAGGCTGACTGAAAGAAGGCACACAAGGTTATTCTGGCAGCATATGGAAATGTTCTGGATCTTGTTTGTAGTGGTGGTTATACAACTACACATTTATCAGTACTTAACCAAGCTGTACAATAGAAAGAGGGAACTTTATTGTCTCTTATGAGAAAAGATAATGGGATGAGGAAATTTGTTCAAAAGATAATGGTAGAAAAGAAATTGGAAAGAAAATACAAAGAGGACCGTTTTGAGGAGTATGAGTATTAAAGGAAAAGAAAAATTAGCCCCGAGTAGCTATAGAACAAAGCAGAATCAAGAAATATTTTTAAGACTGGAAAATTAATAGCATGTTTGTTGATGGAGAATATCCAGTAGAGAGGAAATATAATAGTTCAAGCAAGTGGGGAGGATTGTTGGACTGAAGTTTTAGTGCTCAAGAGGAATTGAAATTAATTGCACAAGTGGAAGAGATGTCCTGTTCTAGGAGAACAGACAGCTAATCAACAGTGATGAAAAGAAGAAGGAGTATCTGAACAGGTGCAGGTAAGGAGGTAGAGAGGGTGGGGTGGTGGAAGCATGTGGTCAGAGCTTGAAGAAGCTCCCCAGTCTTTGCTCCTGTTTTTTTCAGTGAAATAGGAAGCAAGGTCATCAACTGGTAGTGAGGGTTGGGGAATAGAAGTTGAAAGTTTGAGATACTGTTTTCTAAACTCTGCAAGGCTGGTGACTGAGGAATGCAGATGCGTGGCACTTGTGCTGGCCCCGCCCTCCCTTCCTCCTATTTCCCTACCTCTTCAGCGTCAATGGCAGGCACTGATTGTCAACTGAGTGAACTTCCCTGTAGCCAGGATGGGGCCTCGCTATCGTTCTATGCACACTACTCCAATAGCTGGTGCCAGTAGACCAGGCTGACATAAATTCTATTTATCCCAGTCACCCAATTTAACTGTGATTTTAAGCCAAATGAATTTTAATTGAACTTTAAAGAATCCAAATGATCATTGATACGGTATGGTTTGTTTTCTGTCTCTCTTCTATTATAAAATACCATGCTTGGTGCTTCTAGTTGAGTACAGTCATGGGCAACTGGAAAGGAAATAATAATTATTTCCATTTTCTTCCATATAGGAATTTTTTGAATAAACATCATAAAACCCTCTTTCAAAGAGTAAAAGTTTTTAGTCTATAGTTTGACAAGTAGCTTTAGGAAAAGGGTTACATGAATTGTATTGCTAGCCAAATTGTGATTAAAGCAGAGGAAATACATCTAAAGATAAAATGCCTGCATAGTATGGTAGATGTTAATTATAATAATGGATTAAATGATCAAATATATTTCTGTGGAGACATTGCCAGGGCTGAAAATGGAAGTTGCCCCAAATTGGGGTAAACTTAAAAAAGTCAGTTAATCTCTCACAATGAAGAAGACATCTACATTAAAATTAAAATAAGAAGTACACTCCACTTCCATTTACCCTTGTTAGGTTTTTGTGTTTTGTGTTTGGTAAGTACATGCCCACTTACTATGGACCTTTGTTTAAAACAGATTTAATTTAAAGTTAAATTTGAGCCAAATGTATCAGAATATCTTGAGTTTAGGATAATCCCTTTTTCAACACACCTTACACAGGTAGAGTCACTTAGCTCAGACAAAGGAACCACAGCTGAATTACTGGGTCAGTGGGACTGAACAGTACTGACCCAGAGAAGGGTAAAAGCAGACTTTACCAGGGAATAGATGCCACATGAAAACACTGACAGAAATAAAATGAGATACCTTCATCCTAAAAAAGGTAATGCTTGTTAGCAGGTCAACAGTTGATTTCAGGTCTTGCAGTCTTTCAGCGTTGCTGGCAGGAAAGTTTTCCTGGTTAATTAGGAAATAGAAAATGGGTAAATTATCAGCATAATGCCTCCAATGGGCAAATAAAGTAAAATTAGTTTTCTGTGAAAGAAATTAGAAAGTAAACCATAAATTTTTAAGAGTATCTGTAGAGTATTCTTACAATATTTTATTGTAAAACATAAAACATCAAGTTTGGAAATAGTCTTAGAAAGCCATACCCTTCTATTTATTCCCACAATGTATTAAAAATATACCAAACAATATAATAGAAGTGATATTATCATATTATTCATGTTTATAAGACAATTTTGCTACTAAAAAGAGGGGAGGACAAAATATTTTCCATAATTTTCTCAAGATGGGTAATTTTTTTTTAAACATACTTTGAGAACTTTTACATTTGCTGTATTTTCTTTTAGTCACAAAGAAATTCTTAAAATTTACAAGAAAACAAAAAAGGATGTACTGCATAGTCTCTAGCCAAAGTATTGTGAATTGCAACAAAAAGTTTCCATTAATGAAATTTGGTGAGAAATGTCATATAAAAATGAGTATGTTCAGAATTTTGAAGGAAAAGAAAGATATTTTTAAGAAAATGTTTGATCTAGAACAATTTTAACATGGAGAAATTTCTTATATTTGCATGCTTTTAGATTAGCTTTTTAAAGAGCAAGGAAAACCACAGTTAACTTAGATTTTCATGAACTCAAGCAGTATTGGGGTGTCTAATTGATGGTGAATGAGGTAGCTTCAAGGCCCTTCATGTTCCCAAATTTCTTTTTCATTAGCTGGTATAACAGTTCACTTCCCATAGAATTGGCCCCAGTTCCAACCTGATAAAGGTGAGTTTGACAAAATTTGGTTTTATAATTTCCAGAAATATGGATATTAAGATATCCATCAATAAGAGACTAAAACATTAATGCAGGAGAGATACATATATGCAGATAAGGGAAGCTGTTTAGGATAAATAAAGAATGTAATAGTTGTTACTACAGATTTGTAAGTAACTCTTGTACCTAAGTGTTTTCCTAACTAAGACATTCTGCGACTAAAAGCATCTGTGTATTCACCACATGGGTACATAATATATTTATGTGTTTTATCTGGAGGTGAAATATAGAATTGTTGATAATGAAGTATGGGCAGTTTCGAAAAAGCACATTGTCCTGATCTACAAAGAATGAATTAAATCCAGTAAATTCTAGAAGGAATCTCAAAATCTGGGGAAATTATCTCAGTAACAAGGGGTTAGCTTTCAAAATGGGACTGGACCACAATGTTCACTTCAGGTACCTGCTCCACATAAGCCTGCAACAATACTGTGTGTATGTGTGTGGTTGCTTTAATTTTATAATTCTTTTAATAACCATCAGATTGAGTGGCCCTCAGCTAATTCATGATCCTTCTAGTATGGAAGGACCTAAGGTCCCAAGATCAGTATTTTCACTTTTCCATTACATAGTGGGTAATTTTTGCACAGTATGACAGACATGATTTGAGTAAATATAATATTTTACTTTTAGGCAAATACTTTTGTACATACCCTATACTTTGACAGGTCAATCCTCAAAGAGTTATGCAACTGATCCAGGAGTTTTATGAATTTTTCCCTCTGTAAAGCAAACACAAAATAGGAGAATGGAAATAAATGGTCATCTAAATGTAGTCCTCAAACAATTCTATGAGTCATTGTTCCCATTTTATAGAAAGGAAGGTTCGAAGATGCCTATGACTTGTCTAGGATCACAGAGGTGGTATGTGACATAGCAGGGATTCAAATTCAGGTCTTTTTGATTCCATGCTCTTTCCAATAAGCCTCACTGTCTCTCTGTGATGAATGAGAAAGTATCCAGAGAGTTATGCTCTCTAAAAGGAGTCCAGACAACTGAATTGCCACTGCAATGATTTACAGCAACATGAGTCAGCAAGAGAAAATACAGCCCAGCCTTCTTTCTACCCCCACCACACCACACCACCTCTCCAGAAATAAACTGCAGTTCTAAAAAAATTTCTCCCACCTAAGGAAGTGAGAATAACTGTTGTTTTGTCAAAAACTATTTCAAACAGCATTTTCCTTTTGGTAACAAGTACAGATTTCATTATCTGAAAGGATCAATTGTCTTTAAAGTAGGTTTATGATTTAGTGCTAAAAAAGAAAAGTAAAAAATATCAGGCAAAAAAATTACTGATGCTTCCTTCTGATGCCGTATCAGTGTTGGACTGACCTCTTCATAAAAGGATTTGAAAGTATAAGAATAAGGAGTTTTGCTAATAAGCATAAGGGTGAAGTGTGGACTTAGCAAATTAGGTAAGGTAGAAACATCAAAGTCACAATGCAAACTTTATAGGTAGACAGTCTCATATTCCTAATGAAAAATGAAAAATAATAGGAGGATGGAAGTAAATGACAGTAAAGTTCTCTGTCTGTAAACATCAAATTGCACTTCGGAAGATACTGACAAAAGTGGAAACTTTTCCTAGTAACTTCACGATTTCACGTACAAGGTGAATTTATGACGTATGTAACTATTATCCTTTGAAATCACTGATCTTCATGAGGTGAACTGAAACTTAAAAATTGAATTGTTCCTACACTGAAATTCCAATTTTCTGAATAAACTTCCTTTATCAGGTTAACACATCAGGAAGGAGATTTTGTGTATTGCCTCTCTTAACCCCTGGGGAGGCAGTGAGGGAGCCTGAGAAATGAACCTTTCCTTCCAGAAGCCATCTTGTAAGGCGGGTCAGACCCTCCAGCAAAGCTGCTGAAATATACAGAGGATCTGAATGCCTTAGATTTTTCTCTCCCACTCTCCATCAAGCCTTCCCGGGGGAGGAGGTGACTATGCTATCTTTTGTAATCCCTGTCTCCACCCATGTGGCTCAGTAGCTCTCAATCAAAAGAGAGAAATAAAAAGGAAATAAAAAAATTTAGGCCACAGTAAAGTCAATCATTCAATGACTGTAAAAGTCAGTGTATTCATGTCTTGTCTCTGGATGCTTTGTCTGGTCTCTGAGACTGGTGCGAATCATCAAGACGGCCGGCCTGACCCTGATCAACCATGCTGTGTACACTGGAAACAAGTGTTCTGGTTGTCTGCCTGATGCCCATTCTTTCACTCTTCCTGGTAGAACCTCATGAGACAAATGCATCCATTATGAAATGCCTACCGTCCCAGACCTCTTTTCCTCCAGGAATGGCCACGGAACATGGTTATGGCCAATGAGATACATACAGCATATTAAAGCAGATAGTGCAATTAGCAAATTATGAATGAAATAATATTTGGAAGATTCTAAAAGAGTGCCTGGCAGACAGAGTTTGTTGTATTAGTGTTTGCTATATACTTTTTTATTTTTTATTTTTTATTTTTGCATTTGCTCTTTGTGTCTTTATCCTTTCCCCCCCTTAGAATAGATACCAGGAGGTAAAAGAGTCATCCTGTGGCTAGAAAATGAATAGCTGAACAAATGGTAAGAATGGTGGAGCTGGAAGGAGCCCCCACCCCTCACTCTAGCCCTGTCCACCCACCCTTTCAAAAACTTACAACCCCAGCAGCCCTGAAATCCTTATAACCTCTGGACTTCGGCTGCTTGGAGAAAAAAATCTGAAAGTTGTTTGTTTCATTGAATTTCTGTTTCACACAGAACAGAATTTTGACTGATACAGATCACACATTTGGTCCTCCTCCCTAAGTCTTCAGTGCCCAGCTGGAAAATTTACATTCAAGGGAAACAGAAAACTGTGGGGAAAACTGCCAGGCTTGTTGTCACTAAATCCCAAACAACATCAGATGATGTGAAATTAAAAGTGTGCTGCTGATTGAATTTTCATAAAGGTTCTGTAAGCAGCAGGACAGCTTGAAATTTAATTTTATTTACCATCTTTCTGTTTAACTAGAGTGAGATTGCCTTTGCAAGTACAGAAGAGGCCTATTGTCTGCACGGTGTGATTTGAGGAATAACAAAAGCCTGTGTGATTAAAAATTGTTTCCCCTAAGGGGCAGCATGCCTTAGTATCTGAGACTGCCACATTATTCGGTTATTTGCAAAAGGTTAGAACTATCCACGTCTATTCTTGGGTTCTGTGAGGATGGGTGGGAAGGGAGGGATAAGGAGGTGGGGGGGGAAGAAAGGGGCCATTAAGATTAGCATGTGTAATGTGGGGGGAGGCACGGGGAGGCTGTGCAACACAGAGAAGACAAGTAGTGACTCTACAGCATCTTACTACACTGATGGACAGTGACTGTAATGGTGTTTGCGGGGGGGACTTGGTGAACGGGGGAGTCTAGTAAACATAATGTTCCTCATGTAATTGTAGATTAATGATACCAAAAGCAAAAAAGAAAAAAAGAAAAATGAACAACAACAACAACAAAAGTCTAAAAAAAAAACTACCCATGTCTAACATTTGGGAGGGGCCAAATCAATTATAATAATACTAAGTATAATCCAGCTATAAATAATCAAGGTTTAATTAGTTGATAATAACAACCCTAGACCAGGGATCAGCAAAACTTGCTCTGTAAAGAGCCAGGTAGTAAATAGTATCAACTTAGTGGTCTGTCATGACTAGTAAACTCTGACATTGTAGCACAATAGCTCCCATAAACAGTATATAAACAAATGGCCATGGTTGCCTTTCCATAAAATTTTGTTTCTGGACAGCGAAATTCAAATTTCATATAATTTTCATGTGTCATGAAATAATAGTTTTCTTTTGATTTTTTTAACCACTAAAAACATAAAAACTATTTTCAGTTGATGCGCCATACAAACCAGTGCTTGGGCCAGTTTGGGGGCAGAGGGTGATTTTGACAAGGGGAAGGAAGTTGCTCCCTCTCAAGTCCACTTTCAGTAAGCCTTCCCGGGAACTGTGGAGGGAAGAGCTCTCACAAGGGGTGTAAAAAACCTCTGCGTCACCTTCAGCTTCTCTCCTTTCCTTTCCTTCTCAGTGTCTCACAACAATGGCAGGGGTAGTTTAACCTGCAGCCAATGAAGTTTAAGCCTTGGGGGCCTTCACTTGCTTCAGCTTCCTTGAGAGGAGCCCAAGCCATTTGTTCACAGGATCTTAGGTTTTTGTAAAATTTGCAAGAATAGGATAAAAATTACACTGAACTGTACTAGCAAGTTGTTTTTCCAGATGCAGTAATTCATTAAGAAGATAAATTCATACTAAATGCAGTAATTCATTAAGAAGATAGGAAAGAGTTCAAATAAAGGTAATACATAGGCTATTTTGATAATTTAATGCTAATCATATGAGCATATTGGAAATATTTTTGCATATCTTGCTTTTTTGATATTGATACTGATACCATCAGAGATACCATAAAACTACAAAATGCCAATATAACGAAAGTATCAAAGACAAACTAATTAAAAAATGTCACCAACTCAAAAGAGTTTTTAAGGGGTCATTTCTTAGGCAAACTTGAAAAGCACTGAGATATTTATCATTCACTGACCAAGAAAGCCTTAATATTTTCCCTGGTTTGATTAAACTTTAGACAGGCTTCTCACACTAGGTTCTGACCTCCCTTTTTTATTTTTAGAGCATTTTATTTAGAAAATTTGTAATTGTAAATTCCGTCTTTTCCCCTTTGAGATGTAAGTCTTTTTAAAAGCCTCTTGCCAATTTTACAACCCAAGACTGTCTTCCTCAAGTACTTGGGAATCATGCATTTGAAATACAATCACCAAAGAAATAGCACCTCTATATCTCAGCCTCTGTGGGAGGGTAGGAGACTAACTTTGATGGGTGTTAATTAGAAAACACAAATGGTCTAATGGCAGAAAAAGATATTTGCAAATTCAAGAATCATTCATTATGTTGGACAAAAGCCACCGATCAAACTTCTCTCTAACATCCTCAGGGTACCTTCCCTCTAGCTTATTCCAGCCCTTAAAGTCCCTTGTCTTTTGTTTCAGTGGAGCTGAGCTCAGAATGAGCTCTGGACTCTCTCCCCTATTGCAGCAGCCTTGAATAAAGTCTTCCATGCCTGTTTAACTTTGTTGGGTGTAATTTTTGCTTTCACATCACTTATGAAAGAAACATAAATGTTTCCTAAATTTGATGAAAGTCATTAAAATGTATGTGGCATTTCCAGTGAATTGAGAAAGTAAAAGAAACTTTTCTAACATCAATTTTAAAAGTTTAGCCAACTCTGACAAAAGACTGAATTATCTTTTTTCAATAAAAAATGGTATTTCAGAATTTTTGTCATAAAATGAAAGAATCTGTAGTCAAAAAGTGTCAAAAAAGTCTCTTATGTAGGTATGTTATTTAGTTAATTAGTGAAAATATGTTATTTTTTTGGATTTAATGTTTGTGGAATTATAATATGAAATATCATATAATGAAAAATAAATCATTAGAAATTAATTTTAATTTTATATCAAATGTTCTATTGACAATTTTATAGTTTCCTTCTTAAAGAGAGTCTTATCAAATTGCATAAGATTTAGGCTACACAAAACCTAGGTCCACCTTTGCCCAGGACTAATCATTTGGCAAGTCATTAAAAAACAATCTCCCACATTCATTCTCACCTTTGCCCCATCACTTCACTTCCTCTAAACCATTATCTAGATGCAGCATCGCTTTGCCTT